CAAAAATAAATAAACGTTAAAAAAAATAAAAAATAAATAAAAAAGCACCTCCCTCACAGAAGGGACAATGAAAACAACAGATGAGGTCTGTGTCTGCTCTGAGTACTGGGCTCGGTACCTGAGTGTCAGCCTGTAACACTGTCAGCAGCTCGTGGACGGGGACAAGTGTCACCTTGAGGAGCCCCCAGAGGAGCAAAGCTAAGTTCTAGCCACCTGCCTAGTACGTAAAGCTTTGAACGCCATGGCCAAGCCTTGCTCCTTCAAAGGTCTAGTTCAAGGAGCACACTGACTCCGGGGTTGGTTGGTCTCTCCCCGAGCTCCGTTCTCCGGCCGGGACCTTGGGCGGGGGCGATGCTTTGCGAACACACTTCTCACTCTGGTAGCCCTCACGTTCTCGAAGACCATTCATTGCCAACGTAGGTGTTAATCTCGGGCCCCAGACGTTTGCCGTTTCTGTTTTAGTCCCAAGCGATGCGTTTGTTTCCCCTTCCGTCCTTCGTCCCGGGAGGAAGCCTGTGGCCTTGTCCAATAGCCAGCTGGCCATCCGCCTGACTCGGGACCGAAAGGACACAGAGGCGGCCACGGCATCACCCTGGTGACCCCTCTCTTGTCCTTCTTCTTGTCGCGGCTGGCATCTTGCTGTTGCTCTCCCCGCGGGTGTCCAGCTCTCTGGAGCGCTCTTGTTCTGCTTCTCTGCCTGGAAAATTCTTACTCTTTGTTCGAGAACCAGACAGAAAGCAGTTCTCTGGGAAGCCTCCTTCAACTCTCTGCTTCCTCTGGGCCCGAGGAGCATCTCGTTGGTGCCGCGCGGACAGGCAAACTCCGGGCAGGTGGTAGACAGGCGCGTGGGGCCCCGTCCGCCTCGTCCCGAGGCTGTTTCATGAGGGAGCCCGGGACCGCGTTGGGCTCAGTGGGGACAACACGTCTGCCTGGGCGGACACGGGGCCAGGGCAGGTGCTGCAGGGGCAGGCGATGGCTCGGGTCCCCAGGCTCCGCCGTCCTCCCAACGTGCCTACGAAACATCACTGCGCTAACGGTGCAGAAGGCGATTGACTCCCGTTTTGTCCTAAGACTGGCAGCCCCCCACGCCCTCCCCTCCCGGGGCCATGGCCCAGCTGGCTGCAGAGGCAAATGCGGCGGGGCCAGGTTCCTTCCACACCCCTGCTTCTTGTCCCTGTCCCGGGGGCCGGGGGACTTCACGGTCCGTAAGGAGGGGTGTGGCCTGGAGGTGGGCCTCCGACGCCATGGGCGGCCCAGGGCGCCGGGGAGCCTGTGGTGGGAGCACCTCGGGGGGCTCTCCAGCCCGGGTGCACCTTGCATTCTGATGGCCGGAGGCCACCGTCTCCACGTGGCCTCACTTCCTGTTTACGCTACAGGAAACCAGCGGGCTGCCGCCAGCGCCTCGGCCGCCAGGGCAGGAAGACACGGCGGGGAGAGCCCCCCGCGTCCTCGCCTGCTGCCCGGGGCCCGCGGCGGGCCCGTCCTCGGAGGCCGAGCCGGGGAGGAGAGGAGCCAGCCCAGGTAGGCTTTCGTTTCGGTCTTCTGGAAGGAAGGACCTCTCGGGTAAAGGTCCGGGGAATGAGGTAAGATTGTGGGTTTGGCCTGAGGTTGGAGGTTCTGACCCCAGGGACAGGAGGTTCTGACCCTGGGGATGTAGGGTTCTGACCCCGGGGATGTAGGGTTCTGACCCCGGGGAGGGGTGGTTCTGACCCTGGGAAGGGAGGGTTCTGATCCTGGGGATGTAGGGTTCTGATCCCAGGGAGGGAGGGTTCTGACCCTGGCGAGGGGCTTCCGACCCCAAGGATGAGGGTTCTGACCCTGGGGATGTAGGGTTCTGACCCCAAGGATAGGGGTTCTGACCCCGGGGAAGGGTGGTTTTGACCCTGGGAGGGGGGGTTCTGACCCCGGAAATGTAGGGTTCTGACCCTAAGCATGGACACAGCAGCTGCACTCAGGCTGACGAGCAGGCAGGAGCCCTGGGGCGGGTCACTGGCCGGGCTGGGGAGCTCGTGGTCAGGCTGACGATGCAGTGGGCAGTCAGTTGGGGGACAGAGGGTGACCGGCTGTCACACACAGCATCCAGCCCATCCGGCTGAGGGCAGCTTGGCTTGTGCTGGCGGGCGCCGTGCCCGTGGGGGTGGCTGTGCTCGCGTGGCGGCCCTGCCATTGCTGAGACGTGGGCTTCGTGTGTGGTGGCAGCCTATGGCCTGCTAGAATGGGCACAGGACCTGGGGTCAGGAAGACCCCGTGGGACACCCGGCTCTGCCCCTCTGGACAGCCCTCTTTGCCTTTCTGAGCTGCAACCACTCATCAGCAAGACGTGCATTGCACGCTGGCTTCGTGCGGCTCAGTGCCAGGTGCTGGACGGAGGGAGGGGCGGGGGGACAGAGAGAGGGGGCTGACCGGCTCCTGCCACCAAGGAGCCCCCGGTAGTGGCAGAGAAACAAATCTGTAGGCTACAAGCCACACAGATGGCTTCCCTGTCTGAGAAGCGCTACGTGAAAAGTACACGAATGGGCTCCTGGAGGGTCGGGGGGCGTTATGGGTGGAAACGTCTGGCCCGTCTCGCCCGGAGCAGGTGCCCCACGGCTGCCGGCTCCTCCCGCACTCCGCCTTCCCTTAGTCACCCTGATAGAGGAACACGGTAGGGAACGCCTCGGTGCTCTGCCTACAAGAGAGCCTCACCCCAGCGTGCAAAGGGCTTGCAGGCGGACACTCTGACCACGGAGCCTCTGACAGCCCTTTGCAGCAGAACGACTTTCAAATGCAGAACCAGAACCGGGTGGGGAGGGCCGGACCCCCTCGGCAGAGCCCTGGAGTCGGCAGTAACCACGCACGTCTTCCCGACTGTGCGGGGTGCCTCTGGTATCTTTGGGGCTCAACTAATGCTCCCACGGTCTGTTTTCGTTGAAGCCGGGCACTGGGATGAGGGGAGAGCAAGGGTCAGTCCTCCTCACCCTGGGCCATGTCACCCCTCACCCCCCCCCCCCCCCCAGAGCGCAAATCCAGAGTCACAGCCTCTTAACCAGGGAAAGGGCGGGCCTGGGGGCCACGGAAGGGTCACCCGTCCACTTGGCCTTGTTGCTGTGTGGAGCTCGGAGGCCGGCCTCCCTCTGTCCCTGGGTGAGAGAGTGTCCCCAGCCTTCCAGAAGGGATGCGCAAATATGTAAGACGCTGACCGGCGAGGGGGGCGGAGAACCAAGGTGGCCGGGTGCGCCCCCTCTGAAGGCCTGTCCTCGCTGCTTCTTAACGAGGCGGGCGGTCCAAACCGGATACGGCCACCAATCCGTGAGCTGGGGCTGAAAAGCTGGGAAGGTAGGGAAATTGCTTTGGCTTTTCCATTTGTGACGGCTTGCTGGAGGGCTGCTTGGAGCCACAGAAAGGGCACAAGGAACCAGCGGTTGGGGTCTCGCCCTGGCTGGGCCAGCAGGCGGTCCCTTACCCTCCTGAATGCTGGGTTCCTCAGTTGTGAGATGCCAGACAGAGGCCCAGAGGCGCCCTGCAAATGCGTCCGGTCCTGAAATGCTGAGAAGCTAACTCTGGTTCTGAAGGGGTTGCTAGGGGGGGCTTACCCCCCAGGGCCCAGCGTGGGTACTCACCCTGACCCCCACCCCCCAAGGCCTCCTTGGCGTCTCGCTCTGAGACTAGAACTCAGGGGCAATGTTTCCGCGCTGCAGGGGTCCCAACGTCCCCGGTGAAACACCCGCTCCTGAAGAGGCAGGCCCGGATGGACTATAGCCTCGACATCGCGGCCGAAGAGCCCTGGGTGAGAATTTCCGACTGCATCAAGAACCTGTTCAGCCCCATCATGAGTGACGGCCACGGCCACAGGCTGCTGCAGCCCGGTGCCAGTCTGGGCGAAGAAGACAGGGTGCAGGGCCACCCGGACGGGACCCCGCCGGAGCCGGGCGCCACCGGTGCTGCCCCCAAGGTCTGCAAGTCGGTGGACAGCGGCACCGTGAAGAAGGGTCCTCCCGTGGCCCCCAAGCCGGCCTGGTTCCGCCACAGCTTGAAAAGTCTGAGGACGCGTGCTGCAGACCCGAGGCGGCCGCCCGACCCGGCCTCCCCCGCCCAGCCGGCACCTGCTTCCAGGGAGCGCCCCCCGGGGCCGCCCACGCGGGCCTTCTCCTCCATCAGGCAGAGAATCAGCTCTTTTGAGACCTTCGGCTCCTGTCAGCTGCCCAGCAGAGGCGCCCAGAGAGCGAGCCTCGAGGCCTCCGTCGGGGAGGCAGCACGGCCCCTGGGGGAGCGAGAGGGAGGTCGGCTTTCTGGCCTCTCGGGGCAAGGGGCCGCCCCCACCTCTGAGCAGCAGCAGCAGCCAGAGCGAGAGCAGGTGCCGCAGGGCCCCCCCACCCACCCCGAGCCCGGGGACCCG